ATAACGTCACATGCGGAACGGACTTAAACAATCCGCATGCTAGCCCGACTCAAACGGTAGTCGGTAAAGGCTAATCAAATCCGTTGAAGGCTGAGGATTAGCCAAAAATCCTAAAGTCAACGCCTAACACGCGTCGCCGGGCAGTCTATTCCCGTGAGAAAGACGAAGTCTACGTATTCAATATCGTAGCACTAAAAGGGTTAACTCTTTTAGCTAAAATGTCACATGGGAGCGGACTTAAACAATCCGTATACTAGCCCGACTCAAACGGTAGTCGGTAAAGGCTTATCAAATCCGTTGATGGCTGAGGATTTGCCAAAAATTCTATAACTGCGAGTCATTGACGCATCAACTCCCCTAGTTGGTCTCGTGACTCGAGCACCCAACAAATTCAGGATAAAATCCTCACATGCAGATGAATCAGCTTTAACAGTTGGTCCTGCAGCCCCGACACCAGAACGGATCTAAACAATCTGCATGCTAGCCCGACTCAAACGGTAGTCGGTAAAGGCTCATCAAACCCGTTGATGGCTGAGAATTTGCCAAAAATTCTATAAGTACGAGTCATCGATGCATCAGCTCTGTTATTTGGTCTCGTGACTCGATTATCCAACAACATTAAAATAAGATCCACAAATGCAGATGAATCAGCTTTAACAGTTGGTCCTGCAGCCCCGACATTTGAGACCGCTATGCTCCAATACCTTAAGAGCTTAAACTGTGTATACTCCAGCAAACGTACGAGTATAAACTGTGTTAATGGCGATCCGAAACCCTAGGTCAACGCCAGTCAACGCGTTGCGACCAAAAGTCAACGTTCGACGATTCAAAACCCTAGGGTCAACGCCGGTCAATGCGTAACCCTAGGTCAACGCCAGTCAACGCGTTGTGACAAGAAGTCAACATACGGTGATCTGAAACCCTAAGTCATCACAATGTGACAGAGACAGTCAGTTCAATGACACGAGCCAAACTCAACTCACTGGTGGTAGACTCGAGACTCCGACGACGGCCAGGCGATAAACACAGCGCCGAAAGAATTTCGGTTATTCGTCAAAGCATCGAATAGACCGGAAATCGAAGGAGCCAAGAGTTGAAACTAATTACAGGTCCTTTACGCCGACTGAAGGTTGGACCAATCACATCCAAAGTATTCCAGCCTCTTCTATAAAAGAAACAAGGCCGGAACGCTTTGGAGGGAGTATCTGTAGGCATCGAAAATTGCCTATAGGTCTCCACGAACAGTTCAGTATTAAAGAGCGACGATGAACGTCACTATCCGATCCACAGGAGTTCGATTGACGTCGATGAACGATTGAAGTGAATCGACGAACTACGTGAGCTGATAGAATTTCGGAATAACGAAGGCACGGGCCAATCGGGAACCCTGCGATGTTCACAAAAAGAACAACGCCCTTCATATTTCGTTCACTCTACAGATAATCCAACTTTCGGAACGGATAGAACTCTTCGTCAAGCTTCCAACGCACTTGGAATCACTCAAATCCGAGTTCGGACGAAGAATTTACGGCGGAAATAATCAAACATACGCAACGGAGCGTCTCAGGATGAACTGGGACACCCGGGGTGTCTCGGAAAAGGTCGAAACACCCCAGGGGTGTCCCAACGCCCTATGTGCCCTCATGCCTATAAATAGGAACCTTAGGCCTCACTTTTTGAGGATCTGGATTTTTGGAGAATTGGCGAAGCCCTGCTGGAGTGAAGAGTGATCGAGCACTTCAACACAAGAGAGAGTTCTTCATCAGATCTACATCACCCGCATCCGTTCCTTAGCATTACCCTTCGTCGGTAATCCTAAGAAGAGCAAATATCTCGCTTTATCCGAGATAGGCGCTTCAAGTTTCTAGATCTCCTCGCGGATCGACGAAGCTCTGCCCGATTTTTCTGGATCAGATCTGATTGTCAGGTAGTCCACGGATATCGACGTCCCCGTCACAGGCTAAAGACCCACGCAAGCAAGAGACGATAAACGGATCTTGTGTTTATTTTCAAGAAAGTTGTAATTTTTATTTTCGTTATTTGAATTTATTTGTAACGTTTGAAGTTTTAATGAAATCAATGATGAAGGCAACTTTTGACGAAAACATTGCTGTGCATGACCTGGTTTACTAGGTAGATGAGAATCATTTCCAGATTTATGGAAGCCTGTATTGTCTGCATGGCCATTCTTCTTTGACATTGTTTCTGAAGTATCAGAATCAAAGGTTTCCTTTGTAATTGATGTGAAATTGTCAATTTGCTCAATATTATGAATAGATTCCTGATTGTCTTGCATCACAGAACTCTGCTCAACCACAACTTGATCTGAAGGTTCCTCAGATTCATTATAATCATTATTAATAACAACATCATCATAAATCCTTTTCCCAGGCCCATTATCATCTATGTTTGATATAACCTCATTTACAACAACTTTCCCATATAACAAATTATCATTTCTTTCAGATATAATAGAATTAGGAGCTGTTATTTCTTTATCATAGCCATATGAGTTGGTAGCATCCTCTTGAGGAAAATCAGAATCTGAAACAACTATTGTATGTTCGAAGCTTGCACCAATGTCTGATACGCCATGTTGATGAGAAACTTTGTTTGAAAATGGTAGAATCTGTCACAGTACCAACTTCTTTGTGCCTTAATTATTTCATCCAGTTGTAGCTTTAGGGACCACTTTCTCAACTAGAACTACTGGACATTGACTAGTCAACCATGGCCAAAACTAAACATTTACACATTTAGGGGGAACGCCGATTCAATACTCCTCGAACATTATGTTTCTAACCATTCTCCATTGCCTAAATCCCATTCTTACAGAATTGGGAAGATTAGCTTTAGAATGAAATTTCCACAAAACATCTGCGCATATGCAAGTCTCTCCCGCAGATGGCAAGTTGGCTTTGATCAATATATAAGAGAATACCCACAATACTAGCAATTCTTCCAAATGATATTTAGTAGACCATAATTTAGAATGCAATGAGAAGTCGAATCCAAACTGGATAAGTTTGTAAGTAATTCACGGTTTAAATTGATGTTTTCAGACCATTGTTTAAGAATAAATAAGTCTTCCATCGAATAACGCATTGTTTTAAGTATATATAAGTATACAGTGGTATGACTCTTATTTATATATATATATATTATATAATATATAGTATATATATATATATATATATATATATATATATATATATATATATAATAATATAGTATATAACTCTCTAGTATATGAGGTTATATAAGTATATCTCTCTTATATATGTATACATATATATAATGTATAACTATGTAACAAGTATAATAAGTATACTCTCTCTGCTTTTATTATATAGTATATATATATTAATATATATATATATAATATATATATAAAGAGAAATGCTCTTCGGGTCCACCATACTTTGTGAATAGCATATATTATATTGAAATATTGTCCGTCATATCATTACAGAATAGTATTACTACATCTTCGAGTTATTTCAGAGGTTTGTTGTGTTACATAATGCTAACGAATATAATACATCTCGTTTGCTCCACAAACGATTTTGATTCATGATTGACGATAATGCCATTTTAACATCTTGCAACCAGAATATGGGAGGAAATTAATTAATTGCTTAGTTTTGCCACTCAAGACCTTCTCAGTCAATTCTATCATCTTGGAGCCCTAAAATCAGCTGCAGGCGGTTATTAGGCTGCAAATTAAAGCCAACAAAGGTCGTGATAGTTTTTGAATTTAACAACAGTCGCAAACACAAAAGATCACCTTTCAAGTGCGAAACAACCAACCACTTCTCTAGCCAAATATAGTAAGTTGTAATTCAGGGTTTAACACGGGCAATGCATGAAACTTTCAAGAAAACGAGAAATACAACTGAAAATGCAAACGCTAATTTGTTAAAACTTCACCCAAATAAGGATCAGATAACTGGGGTTTATCCCAGAAAGCATTTTATCTCAAGTGGTTGAAAGAAAATATTAATCTTAAATCAAGAGAGTAGAGCAGATCCTATGAATTAAGAAAATTAAGCATGTGCTGAATTGAAGCGAGTTGTGATTCTGAATGAGGAGATGCATACCTTTGGGCGCTAGAAATGGTGAAACCCTAGGGACGACTCGTTGATTTCTTGAAGAAGTTAGGTTTTTTTTTTATTGAAGGAAGGGGACGAAGTTTGTAGTTTTCTTTGGCGGGAAAATCCCTCTTCCTGGGCCATTGGGAGGATCCGAAACTAGAAATCCATTTGTCGTCGGAATCGTCGATGTGTGGTCCTTAAGAGCAAGTGCATCAAGCTCTCAGTTGGGAGTCCTAGTCAGCAAGCTCTCAAGAGCTTTCAAGCATTTTAGAATAAAAAATTAAAAAATTAAGCTTTGGGAGGCACTCCTTCTTTTATGGAGCTCCAACAAGCTCCTAGTTAGGAGCTCCAACAATATCAAAAAAACCCCTCTTCTATTTTAATATTTTACCCATTACTTTCAATTATATTTAAACCTTTTGTATTTTATTTCTAACCGTTGGATACGGCCTTCGAGGGAGCGCACACGGTCTTCGAGGCAACCCACGGCCTTCGAGGGAGCGCACACGGTCTTCGAGGTAACCCGTGACTTTCGAGGGAACGCACACGGTCTTCGAGGTAACCCGTGGTCTTCGAGGCTGGGCACGAAGTTCGAGGTATCGCAAACTTTGACCGTCAACCGACTGATTCCTATAAAATCCGATGGCTTCTCTCCTCAACCCATCATCTCCCAGAATAAAATGTCTAGCTCATCTAGCTCTAGAGATGATGAAATGATGAAGACGTTCTTTCTTATGGGAGCTGCTGTCGTTGAGGAAGAAGAACAAGAGAAATGTTCAACTTCAACACAAACGACGTATTGTGCTCTATCGAAACCGACTGGAAGGCCACAATCGGTTGTTCCAAGATTATTTTACTGACGCACCAACCTATCCTCTTTATTATTTTCGTCAAAGATTCAGAATGATGCGTTCGTTATTCCTTCGAATCCACGACGCAGTCGTCGAACATGACAAGTACTTCGTCCAAAAGAGGAATGGTGCTGGACAGTTAGGACTATCTAGTCTTCAAAAGATTACTGCAGCTATGCGGATGCTCGTATATGGAGCATCCGCTGACTCCGTTGACGACTATGTTCGGATCGGTAAAAGTACGTCGTTTGAGAGCGTGAAGAGGTTCGTTCGATCGATTATCAACATCTTTGGAGAGGAATACCTTCGTTCACCGACTAATGAAGACGTTGCACGCCTGCTCGAGGAAGGTTCACAACGAGGTTTTCCTGGTATGCTTGGGAGCATCGACTACATGCACTGGACATGGAAGAACTGTCCAACTGCTTGGCAAAGTATGTATACTGGATATTTTCATGAACCTACAATTATTTTAGAGGCCGTAGCTAGCAAAGATCTTTGGATATGGCATGCTTTCTTTGGACTGCTGGGGTCTCACAATGACCTTAATGTTCTACATCGTTCACCGGTTTTCGCACAACTTGCGGAGGGAAGAGCTTCACCGTGCAACTATACTGTCAATGGTCACGAGTATAATATGGGATACTATCTCGCCAACGGGACTTACCGAGAGTGGTCCGCATTAGTGAAGACTATTCCAGCACCTCGAGTAAACAAGCATAAGTACTTTGCTCAACAACAAGAAGCGCAAGAAAAGATGTTGAGCGAGCTTTTGGCGTGTTGCAAGCTCGATTTGCGATTGTTCGTGGATCAGGATGTTTCTGGCAACCTTGTGTACTGAAAGATATCATGACAGCTTGTATCATATAACATGATCGTTGAAGATGAACGTGATTGTCAATTGGACAACAACTTCGACTTTACTGATTCGGTATGATTGTCAATTGGACAACAACTTCGACTTTACTGATTCGGTACCAGTCGTTGAACCTTCTCATGTGTAAACGGTACCTCTAACTGAGTTCATCCAAAATCATCATCGGATCAGGAACACGCAAACACACAAATCACTAAAAAATAATTTGATCGAGCATCTGTGGCAGCTCAAGGGATCCATCACCGAGGATTAAGTTTCTTTATGTCTAATGTAATTTCAGAAAAGGAGTTCAAGTTGTTGTACTATGCCAATTTTATTTTCAATAAAGTAGTTGTTTTCATTCAATGCCAAATTTTTTAACTTCAAGTATAATCATAAATCTAATACAAGATAATATTTGATAATTAGGAAGAACTAATGAGGATGCGACGCGAGTACAATATATGATAATTAGGAAGAACCCTTGGACATCCACCTCTCCAATATATCTGCCTGACGCATTTTAAAGTATTGTCGTTGAACTGAATTGAGTGTTGAGAGATCCATCTTCATGATATCGTCATCTTATTTCTTCTGTTTTAGCTCTATTTTGTGATTGGTGGTTTGCTTCATCCACGCAAAAGCCTCTCCCATGATGGACGTAGCGGATCCAGAGTTTTCCACATTTTGTTTCCTCTTGAGCTTTGCTGCTTTCCTCCCTTCAGGCCTTACTAACACATCATCCGAGTCGGTGTTCAACTCGATGGGGGTCGCTGGCATGGAATTGTTTGGTGAGGAATCAGAGTTTGTGGTTCTTCTCAGCTGTGATCGAATCTTATTGTAAGTTTCCATTTGTTGGATCCACTTTTGATGATGACGCAACTCAACCCAGCAATGGTCAAACACGAATGGCTTACCATAAAGGGATTGGTATAATTCTTTTACTTCTGCAGTCTACACAAGAGTTTAATTTAGAATAATCAAACATAATTAAACATATATATTCCTCTCTTCAATGCTATGTTGTTGACATAAAAACATATAAGTTAAATATTTACCTGGTCAATAATTCCCGTACCAGATCTTTGTCTTCCTTCAATCTGAGCAACGCACCCGCAGAACTTGTTGACGGACATTTGAATCATTGACCAACGATGCATCATTTGGTTTTGTGTGCGGCTCGTTGGATCGGGGAGTATTGGATAAAGTAGTCATTAGCTCTGTGCCAAAACTTATCTTTGTGTTACCCCGTACCTTGGATGGCGTCTTGGCTCGTGTTCAGCCAAGCAGACACAAGAAGCTTATCCTCGTGGACAGTCCAATTTTCGGACCGCGTGTAAGCCTTCTTCTTCTTTGTGGTCGGTGTTTCTTGGGATGACACTTGTTGTGTTGCCGATTGCGAGAACTCGATGGAGTTACCTTCTTCTACGACTTCTGTATAGAACGACGGGTATAAGGTCGATTCTTCACTGGTAAGGAGTTGCGAATAATAGTTTTGTGAGGGATCCATGAGATTTGTAATTTGATAGGGAAATATAGAGTTTTTTTATGAGAGAGTTGTGTGGAATGATTTGTCTATTGAAGTGAAATGAATTTATAGATGATTTTTTTATTGTTTATGCTATTTTTTTAATCCCAACAGCTAAATTTTTTAACGGCTGAATTTTTCAGCTTAACTCAACGGCACATTTTCAGAACTTTTCTCTTCAACGGTACATTTTCATCTCAACGGAAACATTTTCACCTCAAACAACGCAACCAATTAAAAAAATCCAAAAACCCCTCTCCATCTCAACTTCGACAGACCCAAACCCCACCCCCTTCGTCCAAACCCAACCCCAACCCCAAATCCTCTCCCTTCGACAGACCCAACCCTACCCCTTCGACAGACCTAACCCCAACCCCAAATCCTCTCCATCGACGGCGGCGACGGCGTCGGCTTGCGGAGGCCAGTCGTCGAACTCTTCGCCACCATCATCTCCGCTCCG